GGCTATAAATTAAGAATGCTTTTAAGAAAATGGAAAGTAAATGAACAGAAGAGAAATCCACATCAAATCAATATTTGGGGTGATGACCCTTTGTCTACAAAACAGCATCAGTTCTTCTAGGTACACTTGAACACAGTTTTTGAAGGAACTCGGCAAGGTTCCTTCAAGGTTGTTCCAAATATTTGCACGTTTGCGGTCACTGTCCTGCTGCAGAATACATCTGGGGCCAATCACACACCTCCTTAATGGTAATGGCATGGATGGATAAGTATCTGCTGTATTACTCAGCGTTGCGGACAGCATTGATCCTGACCAAATTTCTAACTCCATTTGCAGAAATGTAACCCCAACCTTGCAAGAAACCTCCACCATGCTTCACTGTTGCTTGCAGACCCTCATAATTGTGCTTCTCTTCAGCCCTTCAGAAAACAAACTGCCGTCTGCTACAGCCAAATGTTTTCAAATTTTGACTCATCAGTCCAGAGCATCTGCTGCCATTTTCCTGCACCCCACTTCCTGTGCTTTTGTGCATAGTTGAGTCTCTTAGCCTTGTTTCCACGTCGGAGATATGGCTTTTTGGCCACAATTTTGCCATGAAGACTGTTTCTGGCCAGACTTCTCCAGACAGTAGATGGGTGTACCTGGGTCCCACGGGTTTCCATCAGTTCTGTGCTGATGGCACTGGACACCTTCCAAAATCAAAGGGAAGTAAGCATTATGTGTTTCATCTGTTGCATTAAGCTTCCTTGGCTGACCCACTGCATCTATAGTCTTCAATGTTGCCCATTTCGTTGTGCTTCTTCAAAAGAGCTTGAACAGCACATCTTGAAACCCCAGTCTGCTTTGAAATCTTTGCCTGGGAGAGGCATTGCTGATGCAGAATACCTATCTTTTGTCTGGTTCCTGTGCTCAGTTTTGCCATGGTGACATGAAACGGTCTTCTACAACCTCACCTTAGTAGCAGAGTTTGGCTGTTCCTCACCTAGTTTTTAAGCCTCCTACAGAGCTGTTTCTGTTTCGATTAATGACTGTGTTTCAAATTACATATGAAATTGATGATCATTAGCACCTGCTTGGTATAATTGCTTAATCACACACCTGAATCTAATCCTACAAAACCCCCGACTTTGTGCAAGCATAAGAATTGATACTATTTTGAAGGCAAAGCGTGGTCACACCAAATATTAATTTGGTTTGGATGTCTCTTCTGTTCATTAACATTCCCTTATATTAATTGATTAAAAAATAAATTATCAACACTTCTATTTCTGAAAGCATTTTTAATTTACAGCATTTTTGCACAACTGCCTAATACTTTTGCACAATACTGCATTTCACTGTCCCTGAGGAGGAAGAGTATCAAAATGTATTGGGCATATTTAATTTTGTCAAGGTTTTTAAAAGGCTAACAAATTTATCTTTATTAATATTACTCAGGGGTACTTATATACTTTCCCTAAAGAGAAACATTATGATCTTATGAAAAGACAATTGAAGGAGCGTTGCAAATAACTAAGAATCCAGAGATATAACAAATAAATAATAAAACTTTTAAAGGGAAGACAAAGCAGTACACAATAAATAATTGATAAGATAAATACATAAGCAGGGAAATATTTATAACAAAGAAGCATACTGAATAGTGAAATCCTGGCACTTGTTTATTAAATAGCGATAGGCTACAGTTTTAAATGTATATATATTTATTATATATATATATATATGTATATTCAGGATTAAAAGGTTTGTTTATATATTTTTCAAACTTAAATCCATCATTCGAGGTAAAATATATGTTACTTGATAAAATTACAGTGTATGACCTGTTACATAGGATAGAAGGCTCCTAGCTCTATTCAGCAGAAATAATAACAAATAACATCTACAAGATACACCATTATTATCCCAGGTATATAGGAATGGGCGATGATGACACGAAATCATTACTAATTGGCAGTGGTGGGATTCAAATATGTGAACAACCGGTTCTCTGTGTGGATGCTGCTTCCGGAAGTCCATTCTGAACCTGAGCAACAAAAAATTAGCTGCGGGCTCTGCCGAAGTGGTGCGAACTGGCTGAATCCCACCACTGCTTATTGGTAGATAGCAGAAAAGAATGGAGAGAAGGGCACATTTTTATAGACAGTTACAAATTGCGCTGAAGAAAAAAAGATGAAGAATTACAGATAGCAGTTAGTAAAGGGGTAAAAGGGATTTCAAACACAATGTCCTGAATTCTGAGGCATTGTCTGAAGAGAATGTATCTTCAAAATATATTTTCTGTTATTAATCAAAATTCCACAAACCATTGCTATGTAAAATCTGCAAGCTAAATCATCTCATGAATTACATACAGATAGACAGCTCTCTCTCTCTTTCTCTCTCTCTCTCTCTCTCTCTCTCTCTCTCTCTCTCTCTCTGTGTGTGTGTGTGTGTGTGAGAGAGAGAGAGAGAGAGAGAGAGAGAGAGATGTCTGAAAAAGCAGTTTTGGTTTTTGGACAGATTCAATATTAACGATACCATACACACACACACACAAAGCTCTCTCTCTCTCTCTCTCTCTCTCTCTCTCTCTCTCTCTCTGTGTGTGTGTGTGTGTGTGTGTGTGTGTGTGTAAAAGGTCAACTGAAGGAAAGAAGATCAACTGAAAATACAACAAAGGAAGTCTGACAAGCAGCGATAATATACATCATGGGATAATTATGTTTTCCTGTAACTGCCTCAATCTCATTGCTTTAAATTAAAAAAACCTGAAGATTAAAATATTTTGCTTTTTAAGGAATATCTAGCTTCAGTTAATTATTCAGCGAGTAATGATACCAGGATACTTTTGCAAAGACTGAGACGGGGGGGGGGAGGGGGGAGTCATCCAAAATACACCAAGAATACCTGAAATCTGCCCCTTAAATTATTAACTTAGCTATTTTGTTACTGATATGAAATCAAACTTATTTTACTGTCCTCCCAATACCAGAATTCATGTTTTACTTTCCTCGTACCCCTGAATAAATGTGCTTTTTAACATACACAGAAAGATGACATGCACATGAATGACCTTAGTAACACATCTGCAGATACAGGCAACTGTGATGATCATTGTTATCTCCCTTAGTAAATAACTTTTAAATATAACTATTCTGCTGCTATCTCTGTCTGGGGAAAAGTGCCAGGCTGAATAAAATCTTAAAAAGGCCCAGAGAGATCATGACCTGTTTCAAAACTAGCCGAAACAGTCCATCTTTGCCCATATATTCACGTATTATCAGTTTTGTGAGAATTGTATACCTGTTATTGAATTGAATCATGCCTTTTCTGGTTTGAAAATCTTGTTTTTCGTCTCCTTAAAAATGCTGAAGCCAAATATGTTTTGTAAACAGTTTATTAATGAAATGTTTCAGCTGAAATAGCTACTTCTGTTTGTACCATTACTAGTTAATTAAAACTGGCATTCTACAGTAATCTCAAACTTCCATTTATCATTCTATCCAATACTGGGCAGTAATTTCCTTTTTTTTCACTTTGGGCTCTATCCCTCTCCAAGAAGACCTGGGGATCCTACGCAACAAAACAGAGAATTCATGAGATTCACGCCTAGCAATACTTTATGCTGTAAAGTTCTGACTACATGCATTTTATGTCTCCTGGAAGTGTGTGAAAGGAAAAATTTTATTGCATCATAAGAATCATGGATTTCATTATAAAAGAGTTAATTTGATCAACATGTAGATTTATTTATAGTTATTTGCAAGTATGGAGACATAAGCTATTCTACATGCATGTAGGCAATAGAGTGTGATATAAAAATGCTTTGTTTAACAAAGATAGGCTTAAAGTCCTTGGAGCTGAGTTAGATGCCTGGTGTCGTCATGGATGTATCCATGCAATTTTCTCAACAAAAATATGAAAGGAGTTTTCCACTGCTGCTTTCAGAGATTGCTTTACTTCTTATTCTGGTCTATAGTCCCTGAAGATTTCAAAATTTACCATTACAGCACTGCCAGATGATCTGCAAAAGTTCCTTTCACTACTGAAAAAGTGATTATTATTTTTTTATCCAAATGAGCACAAGGCTGAAATTAACTGGTCTTACTCAGAAACCAGTGAGTTAGTTAGCATCTTATAAAGATAATCATTCCTTAATATTAAGTATAATGGAGCAAAATATTAAGAATATAGAATATAATTAAGATAATCATTCTTTTATCTTCCCATCATTTTCTGCAAGTTTATATACAACCTCATTATTATAAAAGTTAAATAATGCACATTGGCTGGGCAACACTCCAGAAATAATTTGAAAAAAAAAATGCTTTGAGTGCATAGGAGTGTGAATACAGCAACTATCTACAATTTGAAAGCAATCCATTTGTACTGGAGTCACACAGCCTCTTAAGAAATGGCCTGATAATTGAAATTCCCGCTTTTTTTTTTTTTTTTTACCTTTCTCTATTGCAGTGGTTCTCAACCTGTGGGTCGGGACCACATTTGGGGTCGATCGACCATTTCATGGGGGTCGCCAAGCAAGGCTGTTCGCCATTTTGTTTGTCCGCCATTTTTTTGTCCACCATTTTTCCCCCTTTTCCGGCAGGTGCCTTACCTCCATTGGGCTGGGCCAGCTGGTGGTCGGCCTGCTCCGCCTCTGCCGCTTGCCAGCTACGCCTCGGCCGGCGCAGGGGGCAGAACCACGCATGCGCGGCGCTCCCGGGCAGGGAAAGTCCTCGACTTACGACCGGTTTAGTCCTCGACTTACGACCGGTTTAGTCCTCGACTTACGACCGGTTTAGTCCTCAACTTACGACCGGTTGGGGTCGCGGCATTAAAAAGGTTGAGAACCACTGCTCTATTGAATTGAATTTCTAACCTATGCATTATTTGTTTTTTTCTGGAGGCATTCTATAGTCACCTGTAGACATGTTATGTGTGCATGTACACATGTGCATAAATATTCTATTTTGTATTATGTTTTTACATTGCAACACCAGGGATATTCTCAAATGTACCTTAAAGGATATTTCCGTTGTCATGGTGAATCCATGTGTAATGACCGGCTCCTCTTCAGCAGTTCGGCCTTTCCAGCAGTCCAGCTCAACACAGCGGCAACCAGACAATAGCACTTGACGATACATCTCTACAGAAGAGTTGCCGGCTAGCTGCCCAGCTGCAAACAAAGAAGAAGACTCTGAATCAAGACAGTCCATTCTGGATGAATGGACCTAAAGCATATTGTCTTAAAAGTATAAAAGTCTGCACCATCTATTTTTCCCAGTGGCAAAAGACAAAGTGATAAATGGATAAAATTAAATACACTCTTACAGGGACCAGAGATAGAAAGTGTCAAAAGGGGCAAAATGAAATTAAAAGATAATTAATATTCTAATTGTTTTAAATGTTTCTATTTTTTTAAGATGCTTAAGAACACATTTCATTATACATTTTGGTGGCCTAGTAAGAAACACTACAGAACTGTACACAGTAAAGAAAGAGGCATGAAAGCCTCTTTGTGTTATTTAATGGCGTAGCAAATCTAATTTCTGAAAAGATGCAGTCATGCCACTTAAAGGCAAGATGGCTGCTAATAGAATAATCTCTTTTTAAAAAATTGTTGTCAAGTATACATAGTTTGGAAAAGGCTGCAATCCCTTGTAACTCATCACAGAAGTTAATCAGGCCTTCAAATAGTTCCTCATCCCCTGGAATTTCATATGCAACTATGTAAACTATTTTACAATAGCCAATTGAACACCTAAAAGTGCTTTACTTACCCAATGTGAAGCATCTTCAAATATTAGAGAGAGGTTTTGTGGCTTTCTTATTGAACCAATCCCTGTTTAAGGATAATATGTATCTAACTACTAAACAACTAATTAAATGAAGTTTAGGTCATCCACACATCCAAAATGACTCTTATTCCTATATACCAGGGTAGGCAACCTTGGCTCTTTTATGACTCGTGGACTTCAACTCCCAGAATTCCTGAGCCAGCATGGCTCAGCATGGAAACCTCTCCCTTTCTCCTCAGCATGGCTGGCTCAGGAATTCTGGGAGTTGAAGTCCACGAGTCATAAAAGAGCCAAGGTTGCCTACTCCTGCTATATACCATGTTTTCCCGAAAGTAAGACGTACCCCTAAAATAAACCCTAGCTTGATTTTGGGGGTGAGCCTAATATAAGCCCTACCCCAAAAAATAAGACCTAGTTTTGGGGCGAGGCACACACCTAAAAATCAAGTGGGGGTGGGGGTGTGGAGCTTACCATTGCAGCCAGGCCTCCCATGGATCAACACTTGCCTTGCCGGAAAGAGCAGCTTCATTCTGCAGCTGAGAATGAAGCTTGGCCTGCATTTCGCAGTCAAGGCCTCTGACAGCGAAATGCACGCCGGAGCTTCATTCTCAGCTGCAGAATGAAGCTGCTCCTTTGCCCGCAGAAGTGGGGGGGCTGTCGGTGCTGCCACTGTGAGGTGAATGGAAAAGACTCCCCCCCCCCCCGAAAATAAGACTTGGTGCCTCTTTTGGAGGAAAAAAAAAAGGCCAGGTCTTATTTCCAGGGAAACACAGTTGTAAATATTAACTAATACATATTTATCTTGTATCCTTAGCTTAAACATTGCAAACTTTAGTAAGAAAACAAACAACACCTGCAAAAGCAGCTAAACTTCTAGAATAGCCGTGAATGCTGCCGGCTTTATTTCCAGAAATAGTGTCAAAGAAAATTTTTATGTTGGGTTGTAACATTCTTGAAAACCACCTCTGAATAGTGAAGAATCGAAGTAAAGTTGCTGAATAATGTTCAGCTACCAAGCCTGACACTATGACTATAACCACTTTTCCTTTTTTACAGAACAAAAGGGTCCTCAGGATTTTGCTAAATTATAACCGTATCCACCATTAAGCAGTGCAGTGGCCTAGAGGTGAAGATGCTCGCCTCCCACTTGGAAGGTTGACAGGCAGCGACAGATCAGGGTGCAAAGAGAAAATATTAGCTGGGAAGTCTGCACAGGCGTCAGGAAGGGCATCTGGCAAGTAAATGCTCAGCTCCATTCAGTCGCCCTGACTCCATCTTGAACCAAGGGATTACAGAGTTTTAAAAAGGAAAAAACAAATAACCGTATCCATTATCATTGATAATGCTGGATGGAAGGGCAGAAGCTGTACGTCACTGACAACTATAGGTGCAAAGTATTTTCCATCTGGTATACAAGATCAATGGGAGATAAATGGCAGGAAAAAAGGCAGATGAGCATCTAAATGTCAACAATGAACCACTTCAGAATCAATAACAAACTCTTTGGCATTTGTTCCTTAACTTTTTCCTTTGGTCATCCAAACAGACAGAAAGATACTTGTTTAATAGGAGACTAAAGCCTTATCACAGGATAGCAGCTTCTTTATTCGTTATTATGTAACGGGAAGAGATTATGTATATTCTTTTCGGCCAAGAATGGGCAGACTCTGAAGCTGAATTGGCTAGACACAGGAGGATGCCTGCTAGCTTGCAGCTGAAATCCAAGGAAATTATTTTTAATTATTAGAAATGGTAGTACAGCGTGGGAACTGAAAAGCACTTATGGGACTAGTTTTGTGCCTCTAGTGCTTGCTTAGCTTTGGAGCCTAAAGAAATCAGCTGATTGTTGTCATCTGTTGAGAGCTATTAGGTGGCACCAGAGAACGACCACAAAGGCATCTGTGATATTCACCCATACTGATAGACTGAACTATTTCATTACATAGCTTAGCTTTTCACTTTAAAACACTGCATCTATACTAATGAAATTTGGAAACATGTGTACAAATGCATTTACTTCAGCATTGTTGAGAGGAAGAGAGAAAACCAAAATGAAACCTTTAGACAGTGGAAGATAAAACAAAAGAAACAAGAGATTAGCAATACTTCTAAGCTTTCCCAGATATTATGATATTAGCAATGTGTCTTTTTTGCAACGTGTGTGTGTGTGTGTGTGTGTGTGTGTTGTGTGTGGTGGTGGGTAACTGGGAAATCCAGTGTTGCAAAAAGCATGCAGAGAGGATTGGTAATATCAGACAGCATAGCTTCAGAGTGGAGGAAGTACAACCGTGCAGTCCTCATCTGCATGGAAGATGCAGTTCTTCTATGCGGGAAGCAACCAGGAATTATTACCGTTCATCTTCTGCATTTCCCTCTGTAACTGCTTTGTGCTTTCAGAGAGAAAGAATCTTGGGAAGAAAGCTACTCCCCCCCTTACTCTACATGAATACTTCCTTCTACTTGAAGGTAAGATATTCTTTCAATCATGTCCTTTAGAGTAGAATAGGAGGCGCCAAAGATGGATATAGTGGCACCATCTAGCCTGCAGTCTAGAGATCTGCCACCCAGACACTGAGAATCAATTCTGCAGGATGAGCTCTGCATCACTTTACACAATGGGGACAGGAGTGCAATGACAGAATAAATAGGCCATATAAAAGATTTCTCGTGCAGAAAAAAATTAAGGAGTCAAGAAGATCTTCGGGTGAGACTACCATTGCCACTACCACCATCTCTATTTCTCTTGTGAAGCATTTAATCACCTGGGCTTCATCTGAAGTTGCGTGCACCTTTACATTCAGCTCAGCAATTCTTCAGGTTTAAGAAACATTTCCTTCAATTCACAGGCTGTTCAAAACAGTAAAAAGAAAAAATAAGCTTTCCAAGGCTGCCCTGTTTGTTCCATGGCAACAAATCAGTGGAGTTGAGTGAGTATAGCTTTTTAACCTTGCTTAAAAAAAAATCGAGAGAAACTTTTTGATCTTTATTGTTTAGATGTTTAAAGATCCTGTTAAAGGTGCTGCCATTCTAAAAATGACTACTATTGCGGAGGGGAAAAAAATCAGTCATGAACGAGCCTCTTGACTGAATGGTGTGCAAGGATGGACTCAGTTTTATGCTCTTCAAGCAAGTATTAGCAATGCAAATTTTTCAGCTCCCATTCATGGACGTTCACAGGCAGTGTCCATGAAACCGGATGGCAATAAACCACGTTGCTTTTGATAATCCTCATTCACACTGCCAAAGCATATACTGATTTCAAAGCAATCCAGGCTTAAAAGTAGACTGCTGCCTACTATTCGCTAAGACCTGTATTGTCTAAGACACCATTCCATATTTGGGGAAATCTTTAACAATGAATAAAACTGAAAAAGGCATGTTCCTTAAGATGGTAGGAATGTCTGTGGTCAAGTCTCACGATAATCTGTTACTGAAGTGGCATAAAACTTTAAAAGTAGTAAAAAAAAAGAGAGAGAGATAAAGCCACCATCACGTATGAAAATGTGAAAATGTCAGAATAAAAGATAATGAAATCAAACAGTTATGACTACATTTAGACCTAGAGATAATTTAGCAAGGAGTTAATGTGGACAATATTTAGTGACTTATATGGTATTTTTCTATCACTTTTTAGAAACAGCTGGGGTAAAGGTGAACGAACAAGTTACACAAACAAAAGTTACAATATTTTTTGTAGTCTCATCTAATGGTTTTCAAGAACACAATATCACTAAACTGTAACTCTACCAAGGCATCAGAATCTTCAGACTTTCTGGACTGGATCCTCTGCCTGGTACCTACCATGTACCATCTCCTTGACTTACAACAGTTCATTTAGTGACAATTTGAAATTACAACAGTACTGAACAAAGTGATATGACAGTTTTTCACAATTATGACCACTGCAGCATCCCCTTGGTCACGTGATCAAAATTCGGATGCTTGGCAACTGACTCATACTTATGACGGTTGCTGTGTCCTGGGGGTGATCGGCTATTGCGACCTTCTGGAAAGCAAAGTCAATGGGGAAGCCGAATTCACTTAATCGTATTACTAACTTAACAGCTGCAATGGTTCACTTAACAACTGTGGCAAGAAAAGCGGTAAAATGGGGCAAAACTCAACAAAACTCTCACTTTGCAACATAAATGTTGGGCTCAATGGTGGTTGTAAGTCAAGGACTACCTGTAAACTAGGGAGCCCTACTAAACTTATTAAGTACATTTCAGGCTTTTCTATAAAGAAAGAGATCCTGTAGCACCTTCTCCAACCTGTCTATTGTAGCTCCAACGATCTTGAAAAAAATCAGCAAATAAAGAAAAAAGAAAGTTGGCTCTTTTATAGCTTTTACAATTTGAGGCCTTCAACAGTTCTGTCC